TTGGCCAGACAGTTACCATTTATCATCCGAGGCTGGCAGAAAAAAGATACAGAGGAGAAGAAAGAGAGACAGATAAAAGCATCTAGAACACACCCAGAATAAGCCAAAGCCTTCTGCTTGGAGAGTGCTAAAACATAGTCTCTACCAGACTCCGTAATTTGTATAGTATTACAGTTAGTAGAAATTCTTCAATCAGTGACTGTATTTAAAGGTAAAAACACGTACCTCCAAATTTTCGGTGTCGACTGTACACCTTTCTCAAGGAGTGACCTAGTCTCGCGAGAACACGAGACTAGGTCGAGACTTGTGTGGATCTTCTGACCTCCCCCGCCTCCTTGCGGAGTAGGGGTAGGTAGGACTTGGGCAGCTCCCAACCTTCGTTGCGATTCATCCCGGCACGTTCCAACTGGATATGGACCGCTTCCTTAATCTTTCTATGTGACTTCCGGGATTCCTGGTCTATGATACTAACGATGTCCAAAATAGGGCCGTTTGTGACCCTATGCCCCGCTTTAAGTTCATGTTGGCTAAGCGCCGATTTACCGTCCTGACGGTCTATGTTGGACGTAATGATGATTCGCAAACCGGATAACTCCATCACCACAGATGTGTTTCGCAAAGAGACTCACACAGACCAATATTTGCTGTGGTCCTCTAACCACCCAGTGCATCAAAAACTGGGCATAGTGAGGACACTTATGCACAGGGCGAACACACTGATAGAAGACCACACCCTCAGAGCAGCAGAGAAGGACAAGGTGAGGGACGCACTGCGACATTGTGGGTACCCAGAATGGGCGCTAAAAGAGGGGGATAACATCACTGACAAGAAAAAGATGAATAAAGAACGTACCTCCCAAAACAAAGAGCGACACCCGGCGAGTTACGCAGTACTCCCCTACATCAAAGGAGTCACTGAGAGACTTAAACGGGCGTACGCCAAGCACAACGTGAGTCTGTTCTCTAAACCAGGCTATACACTGCGCAATGCCCTGGTTAGTCCAAAAGATCCACTACTTCCCAGTGAGAAGTGCGGTACTATTTACAAAATATCGTGTGAGATGTGTGGTGAGGTGTATGTAGGTGAAACCGAAAGGTCCCTAGGTGAACGGACTGACGAACATCAGAAATCTGTAGACCGTCAGGACGGTAAATCGGCGCTTAGCCAACATGAACTTAAAGCGGGGCATAGGGTCACAAACGGCCCTATTTTGGACATCGTTAGTATCATAGACCAGGAATCCCGGAAGTCACATAGAAAGATTAAGGAAGCGGTCCATATCCAGTTGGAACGTGCCGGGATGAATCGCAACGAAGGTTGGGAGCTGCCCAAGTCCTACCTACCCCTACTCCGCAAGGAGGCGGGGGAGGTCAGAAGATCCACACAAGTCTCGACCTAGTCTCGTGTTCTCGCGAGACTAGGTCACTCCTTGAGAAAGGTGTACAGTCGACACCGAAAATTTGGAGGTACGTGTTTTTACCTTTAAATACAGTCACTGATTGAAGAATTTCTACTAACTGTTAATTCTACGTGACTGATGAACCTCTTCAACGGTATAGTATTACATATAGAAAATGGCCAGAAGAGTTAGCCAGTGATAGAATTGCAATTTTCAGCATCCAACTCCAATTACCATGGAGTCAAGTCTACCCCGTAGTAAAGACTATCCAAAAAGCCCTGCTACAAAGATGGTAACTTCGTTTTGTGATGTTGTTTTGAGTGAGTAGCCATGGTTTTGATGTTCAGTTTCATCTGTCTCTGTCTCCTCATAGAATGACAGTGATGACGATTTGGTGGGAGATTCCTGCGATACGAACGAAGACCAGTAAGCATCAAGTTGCTACTCATTTTACTGTCATGCCCTATGATCTCTTCTGGTATTGCACATGCAGCGGAGCATCTTATTTGATGTGTCCTGGACGTAATTTAATTTTGTGAGATTCTGTTCTCTAACTGCCTATATTGAACCAGGAAAACGAAGGCTCTTATAGTATAAATAGATACAATGCCCCAGAGCAAAATATGATATTATTAGATACAGTAACTCAATGGAGTCTACCATACACACACATACATATAGTTATGACTTACTTTTTGGCACCTTCTAGGGATGGCGATGGATTCCAGGACAGCTCGGATAACTGTCCTTCAGTTCCCAACAGTGATCAGTTGGATACAGATGTCGACGGTATAGGTAAGAAGATGGTCGTAAAGTTTGTTTAAATTTAATGGAGAATGGTGATGTCAAAATGGTAACATCACTTTAGCTGTACATATGTACCTGTGAGGCTTCTGGATGCTGCTGGAAAGAGGCCAAATAGACAGATGATATATTATGCCAGAGGTGTCGGCCCGTGCTAAGAGAACAGTTTGGTGCTTCGGGAACGCCAAACTGTTCCTTGGCATATGATCTGTCAATTTGGCCAATTTCTACTCTAGATCTTTCCAGTAGTGTCCTAAAGCCTGGTAGAGGCTAGTATCACTTCAGCAGTGTTACAAAGGATGTCATACAAATGATCAAGGATTTTAGTGCTTTTGTTTAACATATGATGTTGTTTTTCAGGTGACAACTGTGATGATGATGATGACAACGATGGCGTTCCAGACACCAGTGACAACTGCCGGCTGGTTGTGAACCCGACACAGCTGGACACCAACAGTATGTGAACAGTGCAAGTGTTACTAACTCTAAGTTAATGGCCTGACAAAACAGGCAGGATAAAGTATGTGTGAAATACACACTGTTTTTCTCCTCTATCAACTCCAAAATCTTGTCGCTCACCCAAAATGTCACTACAGTAACTACTGCTACTAAACGATTTAATTCCTGATTTTCCTCCAATTTTTATTAATTGTTTGTCTTTCACCTGAATAAAAAAAATATGCATGTGAAATAGCTGATAACAAAACAGTTGTAACACATTGCATTAGAGGTGGCAGTTCGTTGTCCATATCTTCAACCAATGAGCGTAGTTTGGTAGGCGACTTGTGCCGGCTGCTTTCTAGGGAATGGTAGAGGCGACATTTGTGAGGAAGACTTCGATGATGATGACCAGGTGGACTGGATCGACGTGTGCCCGGAGAACTTCAACATCCAGCGGACGGATTTCCGCGAGTACCAGACCGTCGTACTCGACCCGGAGGGAGAGGCTCAGATCGATCCAAACTGGGTTATTCTCAACGAGGTAAAATTTCATGTTTCGTGTCGGCTTGTTTCACCCTTAGTTTAACAAATGAGTCGTCTGTTTACAGGCAACTCGGTCGGCGATGCCTGCGAGGACGATTTCGATAACGATAACGTGGTGAACTGGATTGACGTGTGTCCGGAAAATGCGGCCATTCAGAAGACAGACTTCCGCGCCTTCCAGACAGTTGTCCTTGATCCGGAGGGAGAAGCTCAGATAGACCCCAATTGGGTGGTTCTGAATGAGGTAAGTCTGCGTCTAACCTTATTGCAACAAGGCTTGCTTTTGCTTGTATTATATACACCCTAACAGCTACTAGTATATTGAATACCGTCACTAAATTTTGTATGCCATCTATGGCAACATTAATTACACACACACACACACACAAAACAATCATAATCAGACACGTAAATGTAATGTTGGCATTTTAGATATCTCTATGGTTACAGGTTTGTATTGCGTTGAGTGATCTCTTGACAGATTCCCTGCAGATTTGACTGAGACACGCAGTAAATCATTGACGTTGACGGGGAAAATCAACTACACTATTATACCAGAGACTGTTAGAGAGTTCTGCGTCTTTTTCTTGGCTAACAAACGAAGTTGAATGACTTACAGATCAGTTTGAAAAGGGAAAAGTCAAAGTTAGATTAGGGTGTTACTTCTAGAAGCTAAGTTTAAATGTGAAACAACACGGAGACTGACTTTGGAAGTGCCATGAGAGGAAGCTGACCACAGGCATCCCCAGAGGTAACAACGTTTTTTTGTTGTCGTGCCATCCCACGCAGTATGAAGCCACTGCCTTGTAAGTCGTCAACCCAAAAAATCTATGCAATCACATGTGCAATAAGTTAATCTAACGGCTGAAAGCTCACAATGGCGCTATCACTAACATCAGCCAAGCAGTCGATGTTCAAGAGGAAACACAGATGTTCAAGAGGAAACACAGAAGTCGATCAACGCTGAGCTGGGCTTTACCGTTGTCAACATCTTCTCTCCTACAAAATGAATTGCTGCGTTGGAGGTCGGGCGTGTCAAGACGTGGCTTCCTCTCGGTCTTTCTTGAAGATTCCTTGTCACAACTAGTGATCAGCAGGAGGAGGAGCCACTGGCCATCTCACTAGTATCTGCTGTGGGAGTAAAGTTGCTACATGAAGTACTTTGACTTGAGAACCACACACGGAGCTCAGTGGGTTGGAGTGATACTGAGATTTAATGGATACTGCATATTGTCTGCAGTGATGCCAGGGGCAAGTGGACATCAGATTACGGAGCTCTACATTTCTTGAGTAACAGATCTGTACGCCGATGTCTACAAACAGCAAAGCATGCAGCAGCCGGCCGGAGAAGACATCTTCATATTTGACCTTGACCTGTTCCTTATCATTTCATACATACAACGTCATCTATCAGAATCTGTAAATTTTGTCTATTGTAAACGTTGTTTGTTCTTTGCTGCTGCTGTTGCTCTTGTTGAGTGCTCATAACAGTATGTCATTTACATTTTTTGTACCTACCAGGGAAAGGAAATTGTGCAGACTATGAACAGCGATCCAGGTCTGGCCGTTGGTGAGTAACATCATCTCATCAGAAACTATTACCTTGTGCCGAAAGATGTATGTTATCTAGGTCCTGTTTCATCGGTAACTAGACATTAAGCACTGTTCAACCCTCGTAGATTATACAGGAGCATGGCGAAACTGTGATGCATTTTACTTTAGATTATTCCATTTCCATAAACAATTTATCTGATGGTGCTACTGTACATTTGTTATGTAATCACCTCAACTGTCATCTGAAGTCAACATTCAAATTCTCGCTATCATACAGTCATACTTATCAGAAACTAAAAAATTGATTTGATTACTGATTCATACTGTATTCAAAAAACATAATCTAAATTGGTCGTTAAACGGACGTTACCCATTTGATATTTTTGTCTCATGTTAAATCATTATATTATGTCCAGTGAAGCTATATTTCTTGAGTGTGTGTCACCACACATATGTATTGTTTTCTTCCAATGTTGAAATTAAAAAAAAACTGTAATGGATGTCATCTTTGTGTGCTTAGGCTTTACAGGTTTCAACGGCGTGGACTTCAGTGGAACCTTCTACGTCAACACAGAGACCGATGACGACTACGCAGGCTTCATCTTCTCCTACCAGGACAGCGGCAGCTTCTATGTCGTCATGTGGAAACAGAAGGAGCAGACCTACTGGCAGGCCACGCCCTTCAGAGCCGTCGCGGAGCCAGGGCTTCAGCTTAAGGTGCACACTTGCTACTCTTACTTTCTTAGGATAATGTGTTCGAATGATGTCAGATTGAACACAGCCAAACATGTATCGGGTTAGAGAACAGGCTCTGTCCATGGAGGCAGTATGTCTTATAACTCCATGCTCTGTCTAACTACATTTTTAAGTTGCCCGTCATCTTTGCGGAGAGAGCACGTGAAAATGGATGTGGAATTTACATTCTGGCCTCATATTTCATAGATTTATCATTATGACATTATGTGCCATCCTGAGGGCTTGGAGAACATATTTCAGCACCAAGGACAGGGCAACACAGTTGCAAAAGCAATTGCGAAAGCAAGTAATCATGAATAAAATGATGACTACTTATAATACGTTGAGTTACAGTGATTTAGTCTACGTTGTTTTTGCATTGAAATACTTTGAGTCCTGATTATAAACTGTACTTTGTTCTTGAATGTTTTAGGTCTGGTGGTAGAATGTTCCTTGTGAAAATACTTCTGTATCTGAAGCTTTTTTTCTTTGCATTTGTTTTCGTTTTTTCCAGTGTAAACAGGAAAAGTTGATAACCACAAACAATGTCAAACATCTGTCTCATAGATCCCTTATACCAGTGCCTTTTCAAAAACTTACATTCAAACTACACCAAGCACATTCAACTTCGATGTGTTATGCAGCAGAGCTCACATAAGTAAATAATCATATTTCACAATATCTAATTGCTGATATGTTATGTGGGATTATATGGATTTTACCCCCCACTGTACTCTGGTCACTTTTCATTGCAGGCTGTGAAGTCGAACACTGGTCCAGGAGAGATGTTGAGAAATGCGCTGTGGAACACAGGAGACACAGAGTCTCAGGTCAGTAAGTTCAGTAGTGTGCCAGATTACAAGCCCCATCAGGGCTCGAAATACTGGGTGCATGTGCACCTTTAATAGTGCACCCAAATTTGGAGCTGTTCACCCAATTTTTTTTCTGTGGGTGCACGAGTGAACCCAAATATTTTCGTAGGTTTACATATAAGATGTATAGTAGTATACAGCATATTCTTAACACCCAAGTGTCAGAAAAATAATAAAATCATTGTTGTAGTAATTTTCTTTAGAAATGAAACATAATGAGTTATTGCTGACATTCTGGTTATTCTATTTTATAGGGTTCACCCAAAAAACTTTTTGTGCACCCAATTTTTCAAGTTGGGTGCACCAGTGCACCTATTACCCAAAATGAACTTCGACCCCTGCCCATTGTTCTCATTGATGACGTAAGGCCATGTTGACTTGATTTTAAGGATGACATTTATTAATATAATAAACTATACTGTAGTTCGTACAAAGCAGCTGCAAACTGAGCAAATATATGCCATAAATTGCAAAAAGAATATTGGAAAATCATACTAATGTCAAAGAATGCCAAAGTCAATTCCAAATGAAAAGTAGAAAATGTGAAGAAATGAAAATGAAGGGTCTATTATTCACCACACCATCCTCTGTGTGTTTCCTTTGTTCAATCTTCATGACCACATACTATTAGATTTCATAACAAAGGCAACTGTTTTTGACAAACTTTTTTTTTTCGCATGCTCGCATCAGTTTTGGGGTTCCCAGAGGATATTGTCATCCATATAGTTAAATCAACATGGCCTAAGCATAAGGAATGGTTCATCAAGCGAATTTTGTGGATTTGCAGGTAAAACTTCTGTGGAAGGACCCCAGGAATGTCGGATGGAAGGACAAGGCCTCCTACCGCTGGAAACTGGAGCACAGGCCGAGTGTTGGGTACATCAGGTATGTAGCGAACAGACGTCCGATAGCAGTCACTAAGTTGCACACTTGAACTTACATATACTTGAACAATGCTCTCACGGACAGATTTGCACTTTTTGTGAACGTTTGACATACATGACAAACTGAAACTCGTCCACTGTAATGTTGATGCTTTTGTGCCAGGGTCCGCCTGTACGAGGGACAGAATTTGGTGGCCGACTCGGGAACGATCATCGATACCACCATGAGGGGAGGTCGACTGGGCGTCTTCTGCTTTTCACAGGAACAGATCATTTGGTCTGACCTCACCTACACGTGTAACGGTACGTCCCCTCTTTTACAACGTCTGTAGTGATGATGTTATGATTGGTCATTAAATCATAAAGGTTCGTAGGCAGAAAACTAGCTCTTTCAATGATACAACGGTATATCAATGGTGGTTTTCAACACCTGTTATGTATAAGACCCTCCTTTATAAAAGATTACTTGTTGATTTACATGCGTCATGCATCTTACAAAAAAGCATGTTTACCTTCACAAAAGGAAAACATATTGTTTTTGCTCAGTTTGTTCTTCCTCTCGTTTCCTCCTCTTCTTTTCGTTTTCATTTTCTTCTTCTCCAAACAAATAAAATCAATGACTTGGACCACACACCTGTCACCATGGTAACTGGTATTGTAGCAGAAAGTCTGTGGTGTTGGGTTATTTAATGTAGCAGGGCAGAGCTGGAGAATCTGCTCACCATATATATAATATGAACATTATGAATGTGCTTGAGTAAGAAGAAACACAGCGGTTATTTTGTTGGTCTAGACCATATGAATGTAAACTTTATGCTTTTATTTTGCAAATGTTACCTTGCTAGTTTTATATTATGTTCATTTGACCTTGTTATCAGGCTTCTCGTATGTTGCTTATGTGTGGAAGATTGTGTACATGTTCCCTAACATCATGTTTCTCCCGACAGATACACTTCCTGATGCGTTCACGACTGGCCAGAGTTACGGCCAGAGATACTACTAACCAGGATCATCTCATAAACACAACACCATCCAACCAACGTCTTCCACTGTTCTGTTTATGAAGGACATTCCAGTTTAACACGAAGACAGCTAGTTGATGTCACCTATAGTTCGATTAATCCTACCGCGTGTCTGATGTATTATGACAGTGAGATTCAGCAGCAGTAAATATCTGCCTTTAATATTGATTTTGACGTGACAGGCAGCTCATATTGGGTTATGGTTCATCCAAGAAAACAAACTAACCATCACTTAGGATACGTCCTATTTATGGCAATAGCCTTTTTTAGATGTAAGAATTTGATGTATGATGATGATGATGGTATCCGTTACTATGGATATATGGGATTCATTGATAAAACTCATTTTATACTTTTTTTTATTAAATCAATATGTTAGAAAACGATAAGTGCATTTGTATGAATCATGCTTTGAATATATCTTTAATTCTAGTAATGAGACAATAACAGTGACACAGGCATAATAGTCAGTACTATATTTGTTGAGGTGGCATATCATGATTTAGTGTTGATGTGATTCCTTCAATATCTGTGCTTTGTTGCTTGTTCCTTTTTGTATCGGTGACTCAAATAACTTGTAATAATCATACTTCCATTGAGAGACCATCTATAACATTACGCCTCTAACGACTTTCTAACATCCAACACATTGCTATACAAGGCCTATGGCCACAACATTTGAAGTGTATAGTATGTGATGTGTGCATAGACGATATGTAATAAATGAAAGTGCTGAAATTTATATGGTCTGTGTATTCAGTTTCAATGGTTTGGGACTTTGGGGTATTGTGTCGTAATATTGCTTTGTTATCATTGGTCTTTGTAATAGTGCTCTTGCACAAAAGGATTTGCATGTAGATGATTGATACTTCAATGTGACCGCATATTAAATTATGCCAGGTATTATATTTTATGTAGTAGCTTTGTCTCACAGTCTGTCACTACTACATCATAACGTTTCTAGAGAGATGACAACATTACTTTTATGTATTTCAATAAGCATACCCCGCTGAAAAGAAAGGCTAGTTTCAAAGAGAATATTTTTAAAAGGACCTCCAATGCAAGTTCAGGGCCGCAAAACTGAATTTTCAAAGCAGATTTTCTAGTTATTCTTTTAATGTAATAAGTTGAATCAATCCTCTTCCATGGCATACTGGAATCTATGAGGCAAAAATGTGATGTCACTGACAGAAAACGGTTGCTTGTTTTGTACTGAAGGCTGGATTTAGCTATCCATGAGCGGTGCTCAAAAATATGTACACGCCTCGTAGCTTGGTTCTGGGCTTATGTCAAACGCTTCAAGTATAATATGATGACAGAAATGTGCTGACATACGGCAGTGAATGTCAATATCAGACAGGTTTCCTCGTCTAGAATTTTTTTGTTCCGCCGCCCTGAAATTGCATTGGATGGTTTTAACATTTTACACGGGTGTGCGGTACTACGTGTCGATATCAACGTTGCTCTGACTATGAATATTACCAATTCTCACGAAGGCCACAGCAAGTAATTTTATGGATGACATCAGGGCGCGAATTGATTTTTGCCTGGTTTGAAAAAAATAACACAAGAAATTTTGTTGGCCTCAAATATATGGTGGACAACATACCGAAAATGGACAAAATGTTGCAAAGGTCTATCGGTTCAGCGATCCAGCAAACTTGAGGCAGAATTGTTCACGTTTGGCAAGTGTTGACAGTCTCATCACGTATGAATAATCTTTTTCTACAATTGCTAATTGAGTCTTGAGATGATACCCATCTACAAGGACAGGTGATACTGTTAGATACAGGAATAAAGACCTGTTGGTTGTGATGTAATGTTTTGTCGCCTCATTTCTTGTTCAACAAGGCTTAAGATCTCGAAAGTTGAAAATGTAGGAATCTTGTTTTTTTGTTGCCCCTCCTTGTTTTTTTCGCCCAATCGCTGTATACGTACATTTGGGCTCAGAGAGGGAAGTCATCCATTAACTTTACTTGCTGTGACCTAAACGTGTATGCTCCGCAGTAAACAAGTCTACGGACTGCACGAGATGCCAGTTCGTCACAATATCGGCCACAAATCTTAGTCACGCAAATCGCGATCGCTGCGCGTGACAGGCAAGGCTAGAAAGGTCACACTTTATTGATTAGAAAGTTCCTGAATCTAGATCAGACGCCTGCTTTGAGAAAACAACATGTACGATGAAGTTTACATCAACTGCCTGGGCTCGAAATACTGGCTGCATATGCACCTTAAACCTTAGTGCAGGTAAAACTGAGGCCGCTGTGCAGGTAATTCTGACGTGCTCGTAACCTGCACTGGTCCGTGTATTAGGCTTACATATACGTGTACATGTTAGTGTATGTGGATTTTTATTTCCTGCTTTGACTGTGACCACCTATGCAGGAAGAATAAAAGAAATAATGGCAATACTTTTTGAACAATATCATTCATATTTCTCAACTTATAAGTCTGAGTAGGGCAGGTAAAATTTGTCTGGTGCAGGTAATTTTAAATGTTAACTGGACCGGTGCAGGTAAGCAGAAAAAGTATTTCGAGCCCTGACTGCAAATTGTATTAAAACAAGATGAACGGAATTGTTTTGTTTAATTGTTCCGTGCTGTTGGGAGAACTACATGAAACAACGTTGGATTCAAGAAAACTGAATTGCAGTCAAAAATACAAATGTATCTACTGACTGACAATGATAAATAAGGCATGATGGCGATGCTACATTTGAATAAATAGGTTGGTATACACATGAACCACCACTCGCAACTGATGTAAACATTGAACTGTTACTACCCACAACCAATGATTGGCGTAATGCAACATCCTAATCGCACCTTATAAAGTCATTGTGCGTACTTGCTCGTCCATTTCTAGCTGAATAAAAGGGCTGCATTTTTCAACTGTCACTTGCAAGACGTATCTGACGTGGATTTGTACTTGATATGGCGTCAGAACTGCCACCGAAGCATTAATTCAGAGGGGACAGATTCTGTTATTCTCAACTAGTCGATGGATAAGGTGATAGGGATGAATTAATCATTGAAATTGTGTGGGTACAATAGGGCAGGGTGAGGGCTTGTTGATAACAATTGGCAACATGGTTCTATGAATTCGAAAGGCACGCGACTTTGATTGATTGTATAATAGATCTCTCACCATTTGTGTGGGGTTGATGGCCATATATCTACACCTCACTGCATTGCTTCCGCTCGGAACCCGCGCACGCTATTTTGAGCGGAGTCTGTCGTTATGAAACCAGGCAATGCAGTAAGCTACGACAGGGAGGAACTAGCACCCATGCCGACAGAAGATAACCCACCTGTTTATGTGGAGCCGTCTGCAGAAGACGAAAAAAGAGCTCATTTTATGAGGTAAAGTCGCTTCTTCTACGTCAAGTTAAGGGCATCCAGTGCAATTCTGAAAGGCGGCAAAACTGGGTTTTCAAAGTCAATTTTCTGTTCATTTCTTAATGTAGGTTAAATCAATCCTATTCCATAGCACATTGATATATCTGTGAGACGATCGCGATGTCCTTGACAGAAAACAGTTGCTTGTTTTGTATCCTTGGCTGGTTCTAGCTATTCATGACTGTCACAGCGGTACCCAAAATAAAAAGACGCCTCATGTAGCTTGTTTTGATGCTATTTCAAACGCTTCAAGTATGAAATGATGCCGAAAATATTGCCGCCCTGAAATTACAGTGTAGTGTCAAGGTGTGGTGTAGTGTAGCAGCCAAGCAGGCTGCATCCTTCATACAGGCAGGAAACGCGAATCAGTGAGGAGCTAATCACCTGCACACTCGATAAAGATTGTGATAATGAGTAATTCACATTTCTTTCACTTCGTTGTGTCACACTAATAGGGCAGCCTGGCGAATTGTTTGTTGGTCGTCAAGAGGCCAAGTTTAGCTCGTGATAGAAAGTTTATTTGAGATGCTGACTTTGTGAAAAGATGTTGTTGGTTTTAGCATGGGTTCCCAAGACAAACAGCTGATGTGAAGGTCAGAAAACAATTGTACTGCCTTCTGTGTTCTATCCTAAAAAAATCACATGGAAAACATCATTTGTTTGTAACGTTCTTCTTCAGATGGAAGATGCTGAGACAGATAGAAGGAATAGCAGCGCCACGGTGCCCCTTACATCAGTTCCCTACAGCCACGTCCCACCATGAGATTGCACTGCCATTATTGACACAAAAGGACTCCGACATGACCGTGGCATCTGGCAATTTTGACACGAGTTACACCGGTATGAACTTGTCTTTGAGAGCGCTAACATCGCCGAGATCAGACCGGAAAATCCGATCCATGTTGGACCCTACAACAGGCGGCTCGTTGTCATCAAGCTGTGACCACCAGCATTACGAACGTCCCCCGTTTCCAACACCTCCTGAACAGGATGGTGTTTGAAGTGGACAACCTGGCGAAGCAGAGTGAAGCAGTTCAGGCCAAAGTGGACAAGCTGAACGGTCCAGAACTAGAAGTGAACGCCTCGTCAAGGAGACCTGGCGGCGTGACATCTGAGGAGATGTCAGACCTCAAAGAACGAGTGTCCGCCGTTCAGACGATGCTCTCGGAGTTCAACCTCACCGCTCGCGGCGTCTGCGAAGACATCCGTCTCATCAAGGCGGGTAGCGGAGGAACTACGCACCAGGGTACAAGAAACGGACAGCGCCATGAGAAGAACATTGAGCGAGGTAAACTCCATAAAGTTAGAGCAGAAGGTCTCTGTCCAGATCCCTAGACGACAGCTCTAGAACGAAGACTGAAATATTAGCAGAGCTGAAAGATCTCAGAAACAAGAGCATGCACCCGATTCCCCAAACCAGCGCTTCTTTTGTAGACAACCGTCAAGAACAAGTACCGAGTCCTATCCACAGAGGTTGAGAAAGAGACCGACTTTTACCAAGCTGTCATTTAATCTCGATTTCGGTACTCCCATCATAGAGGAAAGTAGCGAGGACTCTACGAGGACTAGCACCCCGGAGAGTCAAACTTCCTTCACCGTAGGGGACCAGACAGGGGACGGCTTGGGGCTAGCTCGAGTAGAAGAAGACTTGGAAGCAAATACTGGTTCTTCAGGTTCTTCTGGGTTTTCTGTGCCTAGTATTTCTACCAGCGAAGCAGAACCAGAGAATCTTAGAAGGGTACGACATCCACAGTTCCCCTGGGACAGGCCTGGGAGTCCCGAAGCACAGACCGACGAAGGGCACATTTTGCCAACGTCGTTGGAAGACGATAAGATGGACCGTCTGCATGTCACCCACCGAGCACTTTTTACAATGAGCCCGAGTACGTTTGCCAAAATAGCCAGACATCGTGGCGTCAGCGACACCAAAAGCTCTTTCCCAGCTGAAAGGCATAATAACGCAAACTTAAGTGCCAAGAAAGACTCGCTGTCCTGTATTTTCTGCAAGAAGACGTTTAAGAAACGCGAGAATAACGGCAAAGCCTGCCAATTTCACAGAGGCTACTTCGACAAAAAAAATCAATGCTGGACATGTTGTCGGAAATTGGGCAGGCACGCGAAGACCTGTGCTGTAGGGCGGCATTTCCCTACCAACAGATAGCGGCGATGGGCTTAATTCGCATCCACTGAAAAGTCCCTTTCTCTACTATCATATCATACACGAAATTTTACCTTTTTAATATGCATCTCGTTTCAGAATGGATTCGCCACGACAATGTGTTAACCTGTTTTCGAAGGTATCATAAATAATTGACTTCCCCACGTATGCGGCTTGCTTTGTTCTTATACGTTAGAGGACAATTTCTGTCAAAAAGACAATACCAGAGCGGCAAAAGATATATTACGTTACTTTGGGGGCAAGGCCTTGATTATATGTCATAACCCCAATTTGGATGTACAAATACACTTTGTCATCAGAACGAACAATCGTTCTAGAAGTTTTAGACAACGGGAAACAGAAAGTTGACAGGATTTGCTGAGCTGCACAGCTCTGGATCACATCTGCCGATCTTAAGTTTTAAGTTGTCAGACGACAGTTAAAATTGTAGCTAACCATCATATGACGGTACGGATTTCAAAGCATTGCATTGTCATGTGACAATTTGTGATTGGGACACTTTTGAAGTATTTA